CCCTCAAGACTCACAATAGGGGGCTGGGGAGATCAATCCCCGGTTCTGGAAAAAAAAAAAAAAAAACACCCACAATAAAATTCATTATTTAGGGGCCAGGGAGATGGCTCAGTGGAATAAGCGCTTCCCTAGCAGGCGTAAGGGTCTGAGTTCAATCCCTGGTTCCGCCAAAAAAAAAAAAAAAATTTCATTATTTAAAACAAAAAAAGGGGCCAGGGAGATAGCTCGGTGGAGTAAATGCTTGCCTGGCAAGCACAAAGTCCTGAGTTTGATCCCTGGTACCACCAAAAAAAAAAAAAGGATGAAAAAAGATGAAGAAGGAAACTAGTGAAACTATAGGTTTTGGTTTTTTGGAGACAAGGTCTTGCTACCCATTAGGCTGGCCTCAAACTCCCTATCTTCACCAGGTGTGGTGGTGCACACCTGTAATTCCAGCACCTGGAAGGCTAAGGCAGGATTACCGTGAGTAGGCCAGCCTGGGCTACATAGTGAGACCCTGTCTCAAGGTACCAAAACAAAACAAAAACATTTTTCAATTATATCTGACTTCAAAGCAGCAATTAAAGGTATTGTTGGGGGTCAGGAGATAGGTTAATGGCATAAGTACCTGCCTGGCAACCACAAGGTAACAGTTCAATCCCTGGAACCACAAAAAAAAAAAAAAAAGTATTCTGAATGGGAAGAGACCATAATGTCAGGAACTATGTTATTAATTTCACTGTCAGACATAATTTTTTTTTTTTTTTTTTTTGTGGAACCAGGGATTGAACTCAGGCCCTTGCATTTGCCAGGGAAGCGCTTATACCACTGAGCCATCTCCCTGGCCCCTTGTCAGACATAACATTTTTAACACAAAACAATCTCAAACTAAACCACATTGTCACAGATTTCCAAGATGTTTACCCAAAAAGTACTTCTGGTGATACTGTAATAAACAGATAAAATATGTAACATTTCAGGATTATGACATTTCAGTGTTACTGCTTTGTTTTGAGATTACAAAGATTTCCCAGAAGGCTAGGATTACAGGTGTACACAACTATGCCCAGCTACATTACTATTCTGTAATAGATACAATATAGAAAGGCACAGAATGACAAAATAATTCAAATAAGGAAAACTTTTTTTTTGTAGAACTGGGGATGCTTATTCTGAGCTATCTCCCCGGCCCCCAAATAAGGAAAAGTTTTAAAGATCATACATAAGTGACCAAAACTGTCAAAAAATGCCCATCTAAACTTAATCTAAGAAACTCAAAAGTAATATAAAAACATTACTTGGCAGTTGAAACAAAATCATTCAATTCTCCTCCACCCTCTTCCAAGGCTTCTAATGTTCTAGCTTCTCCTGTAGACTGCAGACCAATCACAACACACTGGGGGAAAAAGTAAGGTAGTTATAAGTACAAATATGCTTGTTGGTCCAAATTTTTTTAACTTTTTTTTTTTTTTTTTTTTGGTCTTTTTGAGACAGGTTTCACTAAGTAGTTCAGGCTGGCCTTGAGCTCACTGTGCAGCCCAGGCTGACCTTAAACTCCCAGCAATCATCCTGGCACATGCCTGTGATCCCAGTACTCAGGAGGCCAAGCTGAGGCCAGCCTTGGCTACACAGTGAAATCAAGGCCAGTCTGAGTTGCACCATTAAGACCCTGTCTCAAATAAATTAATTAAAACAAAAATAAAGGTTGGGGAAGTAGCTAGGCATAAGACCCTTGAGTTCTATCTCCAGTTTTAAAAAAGCTATGGAATACAGCGGAGTGTCCCTGGGTTCAGTACCAGGAGGGAGGTGGAGGGAAAGGGAGGGAGAAGGGGGAGAGAGAGGGGGAGAGAAGGAGGGAAGGAGGGAGGGAGGGAGGGAGGGAGGGAAGCGGGCTTCAGGCAAAAAGTATCAATAGATCCATGATATCAGTGGTAAAAGCCAAATTAGAGTGATACTTATTTTGTCATATTTTGAACTATCTGAATTGCCTAATCAGGCATTGCTTTTATGAATTTTAAAACTACATTTTAAAATTTTACTACATTATCCTTTCTGTATCTATACTTTATTTTTTTTAATTTTAAATTTATTTTATTTATTTATTTTTGTGTGTGGCCAGCTCAGCCTGCTGGCTGGCATGTGGTGCTGGGGGATTGAACCGC